CGCTCTGGAAACCGTTCAAATGCCCCGGTGCGGCTTCTCCCAGCCCGGCTGCTGACCGACCTACTCGCAAGAAGCGCAAAGTCAACTATCAGGGCGCCGACGGCGATGCCGCTGTGGACGCTGCGTACACCAATGCTGATCGACTCGCCCTTGCCAATCGCGATGCCAACAGATTTCCCGTCTTCCAACCCAAAGACAAAACCCAGGTCTTCCGCAAGGCGTTTTCGATCCCGCTCATCAACAAAGACACCGCCTCGTACAACCCAAATCGGCCACCTCCCACGCTAGGCCTCAGACAAGGAGTGGTTTTAGCTCCGCGAGCACTCCACGATCCAAGTGGCGAGTTTGCCATCGTGCTACATGATCCGACAGTGGACGACAAACCCAAGATACCATCCGCCGCCACAAAAGATGGCAAGGATCAGATTGGGCAATCGCAGGCGCTCGATGCTCCCCTCGTCCACAAGAGTTTAGCCGAAATACTAGGCATTAAGAAGAAGGTGGAAGGGGAACGACCCCGTGTACCCGTGGTCATCGACCCCCGCCTTGCCAAAGTTCTTCGACCACATCAGGTAGAGGGAGTCAAGTTCATGTATAGGTGTGTCACGGGAATGATTGACGAGCTTGCCAACGGCTGCATCATGGCAGACGAGATGGGTCTAGGGAAAACACTGCAGTGTATCACCTTGCTCTGGACACTGTTGAAGCAGTCTCCAGATGCCGGGAGGCCAGCAATCCAGAAAGCCATAGTAGCTTGTCCTTCCAGTCTTGTCCGGAACTGGGCGAATGAGCTGACAAAGTGGCTCGGTGCGGACGCCATCACCCCTTTTGCCATTGACGGCAAAGCGTCCAAGGAGGAGCTGACCAGACAGCTGCGGCAGTGGGCTATCGCGAGTGGTCGTTCCGTCACGCGGCCAGTCATCATTGTCTCTTATGAGACGCTGCGATTGAACTGCGAGGAGCTGAAGAATACGGAAATTGGACTGATGCTTTGCGACGAAGGCCATCGCCTGAAGAATGGCGACAGCCAGACCTTCAGTGCTCTCAATGCTCTCAAAGTCACACGCCGAGTTATCCTCTCCGGTACACCGATTCAGAACGACCTTTCGGAGTATTTCGCGCTCATCAGTTTTGCCAACCCGGGGTTATTGGGTGACCGACTCGAGTTCCGAAAACGCTTCGAACTGCCTATCTTGCGTGGCAGAGACGCTGATGCGAGCGACAAGGACCGCCAGAAAGGAGACGAATGCTTGCAGGAACTGCTCGGTGTCGTCAACAAATTCATCATTCGCCGCACCAACGACATTCTCTCCAAGTATCTGCCGGTCAAATATGAGCACGTGGTGTTCTGCAATCTTGCGCCTTTCCAGCTCGACCTGTACAACTATTTCATCAAGAGCCCTGACATCCAAGCACTACTGCGCGGCAAGGGCAGTCAGCCGCTGAAGGCTATCGGCATGCTCAAGAAGCTCTGCAACCACCCAGATCTTCTCAATCTTACCGATGACCTTCCTGGGTGCGAGAAGTTCTGGCCTGAAGACTACGTTCCCAAGGATGCACGCGGCCGAGACAGAGATGTCAAGCCATGGTACTCGGGCAAGATGCAGGTCTTGGATCGGATGCTTGCGAGGATCCGGCAGGACACCAACGACAAGATCGTACTCATCAGCAACTATACTTCCACGTTAGACGTGTTCGAAAGGCTTTGTCGCAGTCGGCAGTACGGTTGTCTTCGACTGGATGGCACAATGAACGTCAATAAACGCCAGAAGCTGGTCGACAAGTTCAACGATCCTGAGGGCAGCGAGTTTGTCTTCCTCCTGTCGAGCAAGGCGGGTGGCTGTGGTCTCAATCTCATTGGCGCAAATCGCCTTATCCTGTTCGACCCCGATTGGAACCCTGCAGCCGACCAGCAAGCACTTGCTCGTGTCTGGCGTGATGGCCAGAAAAAGGACTGCTTCGTCTATCGCTTCATCGCCACCGGCACGATAGAAGAGAAGATCTTCCAGCGCCAAAGCCATAAGCAGTCACTCTCGTCCTGTGTCGTAGACTCTGCAGAGGACGTAGAACGTCACTTCTCGCTGGACAGTCTGCGAGAGCTATTCCAGTATCGTGCCGATACACGTAGCGACACACACGACACATTCAAATGCAAGAGGTGCAAGCCAGACGGCAGGCAATACGTCAAGGCACCAGCAATGCTCTATGGCGACACGAGTACTTGGAACCACTTTGTGAATGAGGGCATGAAGCAGTTGCAGGACTTGTTACTTAGACAGGAATGCGGGCAACCAGAGGTTTCAGCTGTCTTTCAGTACATATCTCACTGAAAGGGGGGTACCGTTCCTCCATGGAAACACGAGTTGATTGCTATGTTTGGGTGTTTCGTATAGTTAGGCGGCAGTAGACGCGAGAGCATTACACGAGGCGTTTTGGGGAGCGTGACAACATTTGCTTCGTGTCTTTCTAGACCAGGTTCTTAACTAGCGCTTGCTACCTCCATAAACTGCAAAATACATAATCTAGATGGCCAAGATCGTCCAGGAGTAAGATCTGACGGCTTGCTGTTGGGTGAAGGGTCCTTTTTGTAGAATGCTCCGCACGGGGACGATGTCAGAACAGACATGCTCGTGGTCTCACTACCCATAGTCTCCGCACCTCGCCTTACTGGCGAACGATTACACCTCCAGTGGTGCTAGGGACTAGCAGCTGCTCGCTTCGGAAATCTTGTCTTGAGCATTGACCACTCTGGCCTGCTCAGATGGGGAGAACATGGATGTGCCTTGGCTCAGCGAACTGATGAGAAGGGGGAGAGCATCACCCTTGAAATCGTCGGCGGTGCGGATCTTGTCGAGATCTTCGGCAAATTCCTTTGTGGCGCGCTGTAAGTAGTAATTTGTGAACTCGGCAGTGTCCTGCTTCTGGCTTGGCATCGTGGGAGACTTCGAGTCGCGACTTGTCGATATGGCTCAGGGTGGGTTCAGTGTTTCAAAGCTGCGCGCGGGCAAGACGTGCTATAGTCTGGGAATATCTTGTGTTGGTTGAGTGGCGGTTGACGGGAAGACAGAAAGTCGATGGAGGATGACCCTTGGAAAAGTCAGACCGGAGCTCCGCACTGGACCGATCAAACCGGTAGGCTCCGGTCGGCACAGGCCCCCGCTCGCCACCAGCCCTTCCGACTCTGACAACACCTGTACTCCCCAACAAGCTGTGGACTGTGGCCTGTAGATTTGACTTCGACCATTAGGACGACTTCAACTACATTACACAATATGCCTCTCAAGCTCGGCGTTCTGGTGCCATCGTCTAACACGGCGCTGGAGCCACTTACGTCGGCCATCGTTGCCAGCCTCGGCCCAGGTGTCACCGTACACTTTTCGCGCTTCCCCGTGACAAAGATTACGCTGGAACCCGCGGTCCTCGCCCAGTTCGACCTCGGTGGAACCATCATGTCCGCAGCTCGTATGCTGGCGGATGCAAAAGTTGATGTCATCGGCTGGTCCGGTACCTCGGGTGGCTGGCTGGGCTTTGATGCTGATGAGAAGCTGTGCCAAGCCATAGCTGACGCGTTCGGCATCCCCGCGACAACCTCGACTCTTGCGCTCAACAAGGCTCTGAATCTCCTTGGCGCGAAGAGACTTGCGTTGATAACTCCTTACGTTGCCAATGTACAGGACCGCATCGTGGACATCTACCGTGCGGCGGGTTATGAGGTGGTCGCGGAGAGCCACCTCTCCATATCTGAGAATGCCCGCATCGCTGATGTGGATGCCGCCCAGCTGGATGCTCAATTCCGCGAAGTTTTGCAGGCAGCTACTGGTGGCCGTAGACCTGATGCTATCACCACGTTCTGCACCAACTTGTCAGCAGCCCAGCTTGTCGCCAAATGGGAGGAACGGCACGGTGTACCAGTGCTTGACACAGTGGCTACGGTGGTCTGGGACATGCTGCGACTTGTCCAGTGCGACAAGACCAAGATCACTGGATGGGGGCGTATCTTTGAGCTCTAGAAGTGCATGGGGTCCGTCGTTGGATAGTGACACGTGATGGGTATTTTTGCGTTTGACTTCGTGAATATTCAGACGTTTCAAAACTTGATTGCAGACGTCATCTCATCAGAGGCTTGTACGTAGCTTAGGTATTAGGTACCGTAGCCGTAATAGTACTGGATTTAGTGCTGCTGAGTGGCTCCAGGGCCCCAAGTGCGAAGTATGCCGACCAGATCATGGAATAGTGACACATAATAATACTGTCAGTGTGGGCGGACAGGTTAATCTGACCGTTTAGAAATATCGGCCATGAACTATTGTTTGGTCATAGTCATGACTGGTCACTTTGAGGATACTTCCCAGAGGATGGCATAATGGGTTCAACCATGGACTCCAAATCAACATGCATCAGACTGTCAAGGTGTCTCGAGTCTCAACCCCGCGTCGTCATAGCCCATGAGCTGGTAGTTGCTGGTGGTGGTAGTGGCCAAATAGAGACTCATTGGCTACACTGCACAAACCAGAAGATCAGCATTTTTTCACTTCCACATTGCGTGAAGCTTCATTGGGGGTTCATGCGCGACACGCACAATCATCTCTGCATGGCATGACTTGCGATAGATTGTGCAATCAAATGACCGTAGGTCTAGTCTATATACGGACACCAACTTTAACACGAAGTGAATGAAAATAGGCCCTATAGTGAATCCTGTACGCTTTGACAACAGGCTAATGACTGGACAGGTGGCTGGTAGACTCGCTCGTCCATGTGTCATACCCGCGAGCATTCGTCCTTGTGGCTGTTCTGAAGGTTGCATAAACGCGCAATATAGACCGATCCCTTGCCATACGATTGAGCGAGACCATTTACGAGCTGCACTGTGAATGCCATGCGATCTACCGACAACGGCAATGCTTCATTGGAAGGCTGTCCGTGGGACATGGTTGCGTCTCTTGGGAGTGTGGCTACTGATGCTCTAATAAGACCGCCCTCTCCAACAAGCACTTCTAGGTACGATGCCAGAGTGGTTAATGGGTCAGGTTAGTACATCCTGAGCTAGATTCTCAGGGTCTCCACATTTACTAACATCGCCTCCAGACTTGAATTCCTTAATTCAATCTTATCTGATGGCTTCGGCCGCGTAGGTTCAAATCCTGCTCGTATCGTGCGATCATATTTTTGCCACTGCTGCAACCTGCACAACGACCGCTGTATCTTGAGCGGGCTTTTACTTCTTTTGTCCCGCCCCGTGTTGTACTTTCCTTGCCTTTTCTAGTCCATGTCTCGACATGGTTGGGTGTGACAACCGCGGCGTGACATGTAGTGGTAACTCGGAAGTACCATAACAACAAGTCTGCGTGAGCACAATCGCGGCATCGCTGCTCGGCAATTGCATCTAGGATGGATCAACAATGTGAGTCACGGCGGGCAGGCAGTAGGCACCAATTAATCTCGTTCTGCATTGGGGCGGGGGGGCGGATGTAGAAAGTTAGACGAGACCATCGCTATTCCAATTAGAAACGTTCAAGTATACTTTTTGCTCAATCTTCCACCAGCCAGCAGTTTGGTAACATTATGCCCAAATGTACTGCTAGTGTTTGGCAGCTCAATACACATTGGTCCAATCAGTTCGCAGGCTTTTCCCTCCTCCTTATTCTCAAAGCGCATATCGTATGGGTATCATGGCGAAAATGAAAGTCTAGAACTGTAAATGCACAACACGTGCCACAATTTGTAGCAAAAAGCGCAACGCGTACCAGGATGATGGACCAAAAAGAAAGGCGCAGCCACACCCCGCCTTTGCCCATATTTGGGGTGATAATCGTTACACTCGTGAGCTGGTCCGCGTGTTCAACATACGACGTGCGGGCGCCGACTCCTTCCGGACGGCCCATCCCTTGAGCGCTAGTACCAGGACGACCCAGGCCATGTACAAGCCGACAAAGCCCAATGTTACGGTGTACATGAACATTGCGTCGAGCTCGTAGTTCTTCATGCCGCGGACTGTGTCCTCAGAGCTGGCCATGAAGATGATGCCACCAGCGATGAGGCCAAAAGCAGTGAGAAGCTCAGTTGGGGGACGGCCTGGTAGCACAGACCGCGGTGGCTTCAGGTACACAATGATGTAGGTAAAGCCGCGGGCAAAGGAGGCGGCGGCCAAGAGATTGCCCCACTGCTTGTGCACCATGCTCGAGGTCATGTCGGCTTGGGTGTGCGAGCTCATCATGATGCCGAGCAGGAGAATGACCAAGGCCGGGACCGGGTTGATGGAGAACCTGTAGTGATCTGGCTTCTCGAGAACGTCGTCGCCATCTTGAGAAGTGGTCACGATAGACTCCTCCACGGTCGTGTTCAGAAGATCACGAATACGGCCAGACTCGATCAGCATGGTGAGCTGGGGAGGTCCTAAGTATTAGCCATTAAACAAACAACGATCGGTCAGATGATGTGGCTTACCAGACCGCCGCCAATGAAGAGCACGGTGATCGCAGCATGTTCTAGGTCCTGGTGGCTGAATGGCTCGCCGGCGTTGCCTAGGTGCTCCAGAAAGATGTTGGTTGAGCCGTACAGAAAAATGAGGAAACCCTCCACAAATTCAGCTGAGGGTCGCCGTTTGGCGCCGCTCTTTGGTCGCACATTCCACGCCTGTATCACGTCAGTGAGCGTACATGCCGAAAATCGCACCCTGGACGAACTCACCCAACCAAGATCTCCGAAGCTGCCACACCACCGCCCCAAAGTCAACGTGCCGTACCAGAAGAATACACCGCCCTTGATCCAGTGTGCGAGACCGCTGAATACCTCGTGACCCTCCTGAGAACATCGTCAGCATTTACCCCACTTTGATATTGATTCCCCGCAGCCAAGCACTTACAAAGAAGCGCGCATATGTAATGATCCCAGTTGCAACTGTGATCGAGCCCACTATCAAGATAGTGCGGTCAATCAAGTCATATGTGAATGACAGGACGATCCATACTCTCTGAGAAATCTTGCTGGCGAGACGTGCCACGGCCGCGTGAGGACCACGGGGCCCCCCAAGCTCGTTGGGCTTGAGCACAAGATCGTCCTCGTCATCGTTGTTATCGTCCTCGTCTTGCTCATAGGTCCGAGGTCGCTCGAACGAAGCCATAGTGGGAGACTCCTGGCCAATCATTGTAGAGACCGAGTTGCTCCGTTCTGAGCCCTCATGATCTCCATTCAAGTGGCCGGTCTCTCTAGCGTGGCCGTAGGGATGCATGTACATGCGCTGGTGGGCGGCCATGGCTTCTGTGGAGACAGGGATGAACGCCTGTTCTTCTCGAGTCTTGCCGACGCTGCGCAGCTGATTTGACTTCTTCCCGAGCGCGCCCGAGGCACGACCAACGACGCTGATGAGGACTTGGGCGCAGGCGACCCAGAAGACGAGCCATCCGAGCTTATGGTGGGCGTTGTTTGGGTACAGATCGGGCGTGTTGGCATTGTAGAAGAGGCCGAGGACGAGGCCGGCGGCATTGGTCGCGAGGAAGAGAAACTGCGTCGGTACGGTGTATCGAGATCGGGCAATGGAGAACATGATAACTGCAGTCGCCAGTTAGCCCCAGAAGCTGCAAGAGTCGCAAATGCATGCCAGACTACTTACCGATGGGCAGCACAACAGTCCAAGCAATGAGCATGAGGGCGATATGACCGTAGATGGCGCCTGTGTGCTCGGGCAGGCGGAAATAAGTGAGGCCGGCCGTGTCGGTAGCTTGTTGCGGTTCTGATTCCGCCACGTCCATGCTCATGCCGGTGTGCTCGTCGTCTCCGTGCGCCAGGACTGTTGGCAAAGCTGCGAGGACCACAGCGGCCACGAGGAGGCTTCCGGCTGATGTGGTGAAGCGGCGCATGGTTGATCTTGGTATCGTGGGGTGTGGGTGTGCGCTACGAAAACCCTCCCACGGGTCGAGCTGGGGCAGTCGGCAAAGATGGTATCCCAGGTGGTGGCGGTACGACAGTCGTGATTTAGGCCGCAATTGAGAGCAACAAGAGTCGTCCGCGAAGGCGAAGGCGTGCGCAGGGGGGGCTTTTTCTCAAGGGACTGGACCGGACAAGAGACAGTGAAGCCGGGAGATGCCAAGCGCTTGGCCGTGGCCGGGTTTGGTCAACAGTATTGGCAAAGAGGCTTGCGACAGAAGACGCGGCCACAGCACGACGAGATGATTCAGGGACGAAGACTGGACAGCGCATGTAGGAAGACAAGCGAGAGAGCTAGGCGGAGTCAGAGCGCAGGCCGTTTCGGCAGCTGTGCGCGAGGGGAGGCCGAAAGGATTTATTGTTGCCGGAACGTACGGCACGAGATCATCGGCCGGACGGACTACGCGTATCGAGAGAACCCTTTGGAAGCTACCTTAGCGAAGAGCGGGCTCCGGCCCACGGACCTCAAGTTTCTGGTGGAGACGCAGGGTGGCAGACGACGACATGCGCCCGGGCGATCCGAGGAGGACGGGGCACGAGGACGAGCACGCGGTGCCGATGCTGCAAGGTTTGACGCAACGCAACGGCGGCAAGTCGCATTGGTTGGAATGCCCTCACTCCCGTCACAGTCAGCACCTCGCACCCGCTGCGTTCGCTGCTTCCGGAGCTTCCGGCCGCCAGTGACTATGCGAGGCTGGTGCCAAACCATCCTCCCTCGCCGTATCGATTGGTACAGTGCCGTGCATCGAGACGGCCTTGGTCGTTCCCACTACAGGAAATAGCATCTGATGCTCGCGGACCGCGACCGCAGCAGCGCGAACGCGGAGCGTAGAGGGGGAAATCTAGAAAAATTAAAAATCGACCGGGAAAATGGACAGCGAAAAGCGGCCAAGCTATGTCATCGATCACCACTTGCTGGCCCCACCAGAGCTCCAAAGTAAAGAAATCGCTCCCGACCACTCGGCCACTCGAGGCTGCGCAGTGACATGTCCCGCCGTTAGCTTAGCCTTGTGAATCATACCGGCACATGCGCTACTCCCCTTACCCTTCCCTTGCCACTAGGTACCACTGCGACTCACCTTCATCGCCGTCATCATCTTGTCCCCAAGCAGCCTCGCTTGCTCCGAGACCGCCGAACCCGCAACCCTACCCACTGCAACCCCTCCGCCCGAGCTGTCCGCTGTGTCAGTGTTTACCTGACTCCGACCGCATATGGTGGGCCGGACTTAAGCTCGCGAGCCTCTCCCCTCCATCTGCCGGCTCGGCGCTGTCCTTCGGCCTCATCTGGACAGGGGGTGCGCCTTTGTAGCCTCGCGCTTCATGTGTCACAAGCCTGTTTACACTACACTCCCCGAAGATCCCGGGTGAGGGGCATGGCATGATCGACCGATGACCAATGACCAACCCACTTGTCCATCATAGGCCTGGGCATGCGGATCTTGTCCGTGAGTGGCACGATTCTGGCTGTGATTTGTCTGGGCTACCTTGGAAACCTCCCCTTGACCTCTGCTAATCGTCGATTAATAATGCACCGAGCCTGGAGTCATCTGTCTGGACGGCTTGCCAGCGCACATGGTGCTTACTGTGCATGCTGACAGGTGACACCCCGAGCTCGACGGCCACACAAGGCATGGAACGTGTCTGAGGGTGTGGCCGACACAAGGCGTGGAAAGCAGCCCTGGCGCCGAGCTCTCGGTCACCAGCTGCATCGAGTCTAATAGAGGATTACCTTTGCATTGCATCTGGCATTCCACAGTCTTGAGTCAGGGATTTTGCATGCCCCACATGACCGTTAGGCATGCCTGATGGTAATATCACCCAGTGAGCTCCAACACTACCGCACCACCAAGAAGACATGCTCGTCAAGAGCATGCATGAAAACCTGCATGCGGTATACATGCTTGAGCTGGCGTGATATCGAATGGCTAAGCGCTCACAAAGAAGATCGATCACGCAGTCTCCATCTGTCCCCGTCCTCGAGTTTGACTCGGTCCTCCGCCTCGAGTTTCCTCATGATCTGGCTGATGCCGCCGGCCGCCGGGACGTGCAAAGACTCGGGGACGTCCGCGTAGATGATCTTGACGAGCTCCATGATGGTCCAGGAGCCAGTGTTGGCATCCGCAGTCTCGCTGTCTGCCGAGGCGAGGAGCTGGATAACCTGGTCTTCTCGCTGCTTGCGGTGTGAGATGTACTCTGCAATCTTGGCGGGTGCAGAAGGCAGCACGGGGCC